TCTCTCATCATTGATGTTTCTATCTCTCTCTCTCCCTCTCCTTTCCTCTCTCTGAAATCAATAAAGATATATTTAAAAAAAAAAAAAAAAAAATCTGAATAATTCATGTTCAATAGGAAAACTGTCCCAAACCCAAAGTTGACATTTTGCCTGACATCTGTCACTCAGGCCAGTAGACTGCATTTACATTGAGGATTTATACCACAATAGTCAACCAGCTTATTTTTAGAACTTCTAATTTAGCAGACTTAGAAATGCTAAATACGATAAAACATCAGACTGGAATTTTTATTATATATGAGGAATAGGGGTCTTTTTTTTTCCTTAAAGAGACCATAAATTACCTAAAAGCTTCAATTATCACAATGGTCACTTGCTTTACAATTTACAAAACACTTCCACAGACATCTTGGCTAGATTTCAGAACTACCCTGTGAAACAGGCAGGGTAGGTATTGGCTCTACCTTGAAGGTGGGGAAATAAAGCATAAAGAAGGTAACAGATTTGCCCAAGGAAACAAAGCTAGGGCGTGAGGCAGTCAGAGCTGGAAGTCAGCCAAGTCCTGTGCTCTCCAGTACCCTGTGATGAGACTTTCTACTTTTCTGCCTCACTTTCTGAACTCCAGCTACCTTGGAGCAGTTTCTTTATCTAGCTAAATCTTAGGCAAACAGATCACAGATACAGAGAGATAAAATTCAGATTTTCATTTGCAAAAATACCCTGTGCTCCCTGCAACCATTACCTTCTAGTTTCCACGGTCAGCCTACATAGAATAAACCACTCTTCAATCAAGAAACATACACACCAGTACCTATCTTGGTTTAACAAACCTTAGGAAGTGATACCACATCAGGGAATGCAAAAAGTCAAGGCTCCTGTTAAAATATACTCTTAGCAAAAAAGTGCCTGAATTTAAAATCAAAGTGACCTTTCAAACAATTTAAGAACCAATTACAATCATCTCACTACTATGGTGATATGAAATAAAGATGAATGATATTTTGGATTTTAGTTTATTAAAAATTTTTGAACACTCTATCTTGAACATTATTTTTGTGAAATGTTTTATAAGTAATAAGTAAAACTATAATTTTCTAGTGTGGCTTTAAAGTATCTGATTTCCAAAGCAAAGCATTAGTCAATGAAATAATACGATGGCAAATGATTTACCATACAGTGATTCTGTGATTGTACTGGCTCATGCCAATCTTAAATATATTCTAGGTTAACTATAAACCTATCCCACTCCTAGCAGAAAAAAAAAAAAGTAATAAATATAAGGTTGGTTATGTCTAAATGAAAAAACTAGATTTCAGAATAATTTTCCTGCTAAAGACATTTTAAAAAATCTGATTAGACATGTGGCAACATTGGCCATCCAAAAGCTACCTAAAAACAACAGAGCCAAGATTTCCTGGACAGGAGACACCTCTACTAATTCCAGTCATAATTTAGATCTTACTTCAGCTGCTGCTGCTAATTTTCAACATACTTGAGGGCAGGTCAATGGAAAGAACATTGTGACATGTCATTCAAATCCAATTTTCCAGTCTCATAAAGCAAAGAAAACCTATCAATTCATTGTCAGGAAGTCAACAAATCCTTACCAAGTGCCATACTGGATAGGTACCAGTTGCTTGCAGTA